TAATAATAATAATAATAATAACCACAACTTATAATGTGGGTGGCTGTCGGGTCCTCTGGTATGGTTTGCTCCTTTTTTCCCTATTAAACATCTGTCTTCCTTTTATCTGGTTCTTTCCTCCTCCTTTTTTGTGTCAGTTACTCTCTTGCAATGCATCTAATCTTCGGCACTTATATGACGTTATTGTATTGCAAGTGCCATAAAACTATTGAAAAATTAAACCCGCTTATATTATAATTTTATAAGTTTACGCCACCTTGCACACACTTTAGATAATATAGGAGGCTGGCTGTATCGATCCTGTCTGTCAGGGCAAATCGGGGCAGGGTACGGGTGAGATGCAGTCCCAGTAGATAGTCGGAGATAATTACTGATTAAAAAATAAAAATAACTCTCCACATACGAATCAAACTCACGTCTTGTGAAAGCGACGACTACGCGCCCAACTGCTACGTCCTTCCTATAGTGCGGTCAAAAAGTTGTGGCGCAACTTATCTTGAAATATCCTTATAACGGGTGAATCAATGTAACCCATACTTTGCACAGCAGTTTGTCTCAATTTGTCTTAACTTAATCATATTTTTCCAGAACAGTTGAAGCTGGATTAAAAAAACTTTTCTTCATAAATTTATATAAAATTTTTCAAACCTCCTTCACGCGGAAAATAAAATTGTTCACAGCACTTCCCGCTTCTCACACAAATTTAAATTTTATATACGCATTTGGGTCACGTCACAGCTCACCAATTACTCTTTCTAGTGGCAAAACTAGTTACAAGAAATTCATTTTATAGTGAACACTTTTTTTTGCACTAAAAGTTCTCAAAACATACATTCAATAAAGATAATCTCGCGATTAGAAAAAAAAATGACGGACTTGATTTTAAAAGTGATATAGCCCCAGCTGTAAACCTTTTAAAATCAGTAGAAACCACCCATTATAAGGATTTTTTATTAGTATATTATTAAGGAATTTTCTAGAATAGAGCTAGCAGGTCTTTACAAAAACATTGTTCTGTTAAGACAAATTGATACAAGTCACAGTGCAAAAGCTGGAGAGTTTATGTTCGATAGTTAAGGAGATATTTGACAATAAGTTGCGTCAAGAATTTTTGACCGCATTATAGATGCCAAAATCAGTGCAATAAATTTGACAATTTTGACCTGACCAGACAAAAATGGTAAAAAAAAAAGTCTTAAAATATTCATACCCTTTTCTGAACCCAGACTTCAAGATGTTTCCTTCTCAAAACTAATGCAGTTTTACATATTATTATTATTATATTATGGATGCACGGAATAAAAATGAAGTTCAATATTCACGTAGATCTACATTGTATTATTTTCCCCGTCTCTTACGTCCAAAGTTCAAATTAACCGTACGTCTTTTTATTTGTCTTTCGTTTTTCCCCTCCTTTTCGCTATATAT